AAACCATAAACTGATATAAGCGGCAAATTAAAATAAAAACAATCATATAAAATAATAATAATAGCAAAAACAACGGCGGCTACAAGTAGTAGTAGACAAGACGCCACAAGCGACAACAGTAAAGCCAGGGATTAAAGAAATAGAAATGGAAATGTAAGTTAAGAGCATATACACATATACATATATATGTATATGAATAAAAATGAGTTATTGCGATTGAAATTAGCCGTTATTGCTATTAATACATATATAGGCGTTTATAAGACACCCTCAGACCCCTCACAGGGTGTTTATTTGTAAAACTTTAAACTGTCTTGCAGTTCAAAAGAAACTGAAGCGCAGTGGCAGTGGTATAAGTTGTTAAATGAAGTTCAATGACGTTTAACCGCTACATTGCCGCTATATTTGCATCACGCGCATGCGTGTGTGTGTGCGTTTTTAATTCACACATGTAAGTGATTTAATTAAAAACCGCAGCTTTACCGGTTGCATGTTAAAGAAATATCGACTCAAATCGAAAGTATTTACACGCACTTCCCTTTCAAACCTTTTCTCTGCGGAGGGAGCAAAAAATGCAAATGACAAACGACAAATCGGTAAAAGTCATATTAGTCGAATTTATTGCATTTTAATAATGCTTTTTTATTAATTTTTTAATTTTATGCATGTCATATTTAAACTTTTACTTTCTCAACAATAGAAATTATGCAGAAACTTGAATATATATTTTCAATATTTCTTACTTTTATTTTATTTTTTACCGCGAATATTTTGAAGAGTGACATAAAAATTTAAGAAAGAAGAAAAAAAGTGAACTTAGACTGCACCGAAGCTATAATAATATAATCGGTGGTTAAAGCGCTGCTTTCAACAACAATTTATGCCAAATTTCGTCAAGCTAACTTGTCCAATAAAAATTTTTCCATAACGGTTTTCCATAACGGTTATATGCCATAGTGGTCCGATTCAGAGATTGTAGAGTTACCATGGAAGATATTCTATACTAAATTTCATGAAAATGTCTCCTCAAATAAAATAGCTACAAGATATAGTGGTCCTATCAAAAAGTAAGGGATTAGCTTACGTATAGACAAACACACGGAATCAATGTTAAAATGGGAGTTGTAGCCCGTAAAAAATTTCTAGATAATAGGGGCGTACAGGTTGCCAACTAAAAATTATATTACTATGACGATTTGAATTAGCTAGGTATTTCATAGATAAAGTTTTAGCACGACATACTTTTTTAAACAAGATATCCTCCATATAAATATAATATGGTTCAAAAGCATGAGCAAAGGCAATATCCGATGAGATGATACATAGGTTGTTTAAGCGGAAATGTGTGCGGTAGACTTCTGGTACCAAAATTTTGGACCGAGAAATAAATCCATAATATCACATCATATATAAATGATATAGTACTAACTTTACGACGATATGAATATAGTTCAGAGAACTAGAACTGAACTCTTGACCTGGACATTGGACCTCTGAAATTAACATATTAAATGTGGTATCAGCTGGTAGTGGTAGAGAAAGTGACCGATCGCTTATGTATTGGATGTACTTTCTCAATCTTGTGTGCTATACATTGTGAACTAGTCTAAAATGGCTTAGGAGATCAGACGACCAGGATTAAAATTATGCGAACCTTTGCAAATAAATTTTTAGGATGCTATGAGTGGAATCTTCCTTACAGTTCGTTAAAACAACGAAAAGAGATTTGTAACCGCAACAACTGTAAGAAGATGAGAGTATAGTTCCTTCAAGAATATCAGTAGCTCTCACGTACAAATCTCATTCTTACGAAAGTCGTTAAAAAGTAGTTGGCTTCTCAGTACACGAATTTGAATCTAAGCTGAATTATTGATGTACTTGTATACAAGTAACTCAGCGGCTCTCACATGTAAAGCATCGTGGGACGGTGTCTCACTACTTGAATGGATCAGAGCTGAACTAAAAGAGTCGACGTCAGTGTATCTCTTAAATTTTGCTCGAAAATAACTCTCTCAAATGAAGTTCTATTTACTCGTATGTTATATTTCAAAATTAATGTTAGGGCCGATGAATTATAGAAGAGAGTCGATAGTTTGAAGAAATTATCGTCAGCAACATTGTTTACACATTGTTTCATGAACATATTTAAAAATTTTCACAATATTTTGCAGACTGTGTCAATTTCAGGCGGCGTTGAAGCAAGTGCCGTTATCGCTAAAATTATTAGTAACTTCATTATATTTTATAATTACATCTGTACATATAACATGTGCATAAAAAACTCTACCCTAACGTAGTACATACAGAAACTTATTCAGTTTGCCATTTTCGAGACGCGCTGCGTCAACGGCTATGCAAATTTCAAGTGTCCCCAAATACAACTTTTATTATTATTATTATTTATATTGCATTTTCAATTGTTAGTTTATTTAACAACGTTAATGAGAGACTACCCACTGTTTGGTTGTTGTTAATTTACAAGTTTTCAATATGTTTTTTCTATTCTTCCAACACATTTCCTTTCATATTTGCTCTACTTATTGAAATTTATTTCGTATTTGCTTACCGCTAATGAGTTCGAATTGTGCAATGAGTTTGTTGTAAGCCAAAAACAACAAACGAAAAATAATTATTTTTCTGAATAAGTCCGTTGAAATTTCATTAGTTCGCAAAAAGTGCCCCTAAGCTGCACAAACTAGTTTAAGAACTTAACTATACATATATATATTGTATATAATATATATAATGTACATATGTAAAGTGTTTTCTAATGGATGTCGTAAGATAAGCGAGATATGAGTAGCTGCTTTCATCGTTGGCAAGTTATCATAAGAAATAGCAAATAAGTTGAAGTATTTTTATAGAAAATATACACACTCACCATATATTGTATATAAGTGCATTAGATTTTTTTTTATAACTTTCAAAAACGTTTCTTTACTAAAGATTACAAACCTGTCCCTAAGTGTGATCACAAATTGTATAACGAAACAGATAATACACAGTTCAGAATTTTGAGTTGCTTAAAAGTCGTTGACATCAAAAACGAACTTACGCGCATAGTTACATACGTATTTGTGTAAATTAGAGTGGGTGAAAGAAAACGATTTTTTTTTTGCTTGGTAAGCGAAATAAAGCCTCTCTTAATTGTAACGGAAAGGTCCTCCGCCTTACAGTTTTCTATTTTTCCTATTATCAGATAGAAAAATGCAAATCTTGCTTCAAACTATTAAAAAAAATTTCTCGCTTCACAGATTTTTTAGCAAAATTTTTGCTTTACAAAAAAGTCTTTTACGATTTTTTCGTAAACTTAACCATTTAAAAAATATCAACGGTTAAAGTTTGATTATTTAAAAAAAAAAAAATTTCTTATAAATTTCATAGCTCAAAGAAGAAAAATCATTACACATTTAGTACTCTACAAAACTGTTCACTTCTATCAATAGCTTAAATAGTATTTGAGTTACAACCTTCTAAATTGTAGCCGCTCAGTTTAATCAGTTCAATCAGCTCCATCTTTAAACGCAATTTTCTCAAAACTACATTTTCATGTTATATTTGCACGGATGATTCCTCGGAGATAACTGCGATCCGATCACCAGCAAATTTTTTCATTTTGCCCTTGCACCAATATTATCTTCTTGTAGAGAAATACCTATTTTAGATTTCGTCCACGGAGAAGACCAGAATCACTGCAGCAGTGGAGAATCTTTTTTTAACGCCGTCGCAGATCGATTTTATTGTGTAGCATATACAGTAAAATATGTACCAACAGTAGCTTTTTTTCAAGTCTCAAAAATCGCCTTTTTAGGCTCTCACACTAAATGTGCCCCTTAAAATGTTTACGATGTGGATTGCAAAGTATTCACAAAAGTAATCTAAACTAATTGATCGCACCAGCAATTGATTGACTTGAAGTATTCATTGAGAGCAATGAGATCATCCATTCCCATAGCTTTCGGGTTAACTGTCAACTCGGACTATCATTTCTCTATGATTTGACGGCAATAACGTGCCATTACTACAACAACAATCACAGAGAACTTGCCTCATGAGAGTCCTGTATGCCTCACTCTCACCGGCTTCCGTTAAAAAACGATGCAAAATGCATACGAGAATCGTCGTATTAACATAAAAGCAAAAACAGAGGTTCTCAAAATCTCTTATGATCTAGCTCCTCAATATACATACATATATATTTTTGATTTTGCACATGAAACGTGTCGCTTTCACACCTAACAAAAGTGTTGTAAACCATATTATAGAAGGAGAAATATCTAACCAAAATTGTTAATTGCTGCTAAAAGAATTATAGCAAGGGATATATTTTATAGCAGTTACTATAATTTATGTTAAAACTGAAATAAGACGAGGATCATTTCAAGTTTTTTTTACAATTAACTTAGTGTAAGTCTATGGTACGTTCTCTTCTTAAAGCTGAAGAAGTGTTTCTTTGGTATAAACTTTGGATATTTTGAGAGGTTCAATAAAAATAGACTTTTCCTTAAAAAAGTAAGCTCATTAATTATTTTAGTAGCTAACATTTGTCTTTTATTTCCTTGTTTTTTAATTATGTATGATCGGTCAACAAATGCTACAGATTATCTAAGCTTGTTAAAGGGTTTGCTGATCGCCACAGGGGCGCCTTAATGATTTTTTGTGCGAAGCCGTGATATACCGATCTAATGTGAACTATTCATAGACCATGCTACTTCCAAAAACGTGTTTCGAGCAAACCGTACATGAGTGCCAAAATAATGTTCGAAAAATAATGAAAAATTAAAAATAATTCGAATAATAATGAATACAATTATTTTAAAATTATTCAAACCCTAAACGGTCTGTTTGTTAAATACTATAAGCGTTTTTTTCTTAATTTTATAGTTTAAAAAAAACGGATTTACTAAAAATTTCAAAAGTACTACATTTATACTCAAAAAAATTTATTATTTCTAGCCTCTAAAATTTATACTAGCAAACATTGTTTTTGACAAACTTACCGTATCGTTATTAAACGAGTTATTTGTTATCCAGTTATAACTGCTTGTTTTTGAAAAATGTTCGTTGTTGTTTGCCAAGCCGCTTGTGTTGATGTTCGGTTGTTCCACGCGCGAAATTTTTTTAACTGTAATTAAAATTTGGAACAATTAGCCGTTTGTTTATTGGAGATGAACTAATTAAGCAAACTTAACGTCAGCGGGATATTACTTTCATTTTTGTGTTAAATTCTCAACACAGAATACAAAAAGAATATACACCGCAAGAAACCAAATCATCAGCGAGGGAAACAAACTCAACACCAAGAGCAGCACAAATGAGCACAAATACCAAAAAACAACATAAAAAATAAAAGCAAAATTAAAAATAATTTACGGAGTCATGAATACCACATAGAATTTAACTGTAAGCGGAAGTAAGATGGCTGAGAATGGAGAATGAAAAAAAAGAAAACCAATTGGAAAAAATACAGCAAACAGCGCAAGCTGAAGCTTAATGAAAAACGTGTGAGCTTAGAAATTTAAAAAAAGTTAATAAATAGGAGAAAACTGATAAATTAACGGCACAAGCGAGCTATTAGCGTCTGTCACATTTTTTAAGATTATGTAGTAGGTACAAAAAGCAAAATGTTGTAATAAGTTTTGCTGTTATTTTTCATTTTTTTTTTCGTATACTAAAACATCTAGGCCTTATTTTTAATACAAATCTATCAATAAGGTGAAATAGTATTTTAATCATATCCTAACCGATATGAAAATTATATTTTAGATTTCACAGTAAAAATACTTTTTTAGCTGTTTTGTTAATGAATCGATCAATACTCATCTTCCAAATTTCTCAACACTTATTTGACTCCCTAAAGTTTTTCGGCACAGTTTTTAATAGTGAGTATTTGTTGTGGTTTTGCATGAGAGTAAAAGTGTTCGTGAAAACTTATATTAGATATCAAATATACCGTTAGGTATACCACACAGTCCTACGAGAAAATTATGTTTGCGGAAAATCTCTCGTTCTTTCTAGTCCATCGGCGTCTACATAAGACGTAACTGAGAAAATCTCTAAGGCCTACCAAAGTATGAGAGACAGCTGTATTAGACTTAAGAGCAACCCTAAAACATCAAGTGTTAAGTTTACTGTACAAATCTAACAGATTGAGTTATTCTTGCCAGTACCAAGTAAGTCTGACATTTTGTCTTGTTACTTTATACTGTTAGACAGACAGGATATTGCTCTGAAGATAAAATAAGGTCGCAGCTGTTTCAAATTTGTTCCTCACAAACACTGAACAGTGAATAAGGAATGAAATACTTGCACCTAACTGCGACAACTAGCAATCGATAGACGCGCTTTGAAGTGTGCTCAATTAGAGCTACTTTCCTATCTAAGAAATTCGAACCTTGCCAAAGGCGAGCAGCTCACTAGATCTCTTGCTATATAGCTTGGACTAAAAGAAACTTGCGATTGCGCCGATATTAAAACTTGGCCAGATCTTGAAAATTTTACACGAGCTACGGCCGTCTCGTAGTAAATCTCAAGAAGACGATGACTTGCTCTCTTTTTAGTCATATTTGTTCTGAGAGTGCTTTTTCGCCGCCTCTTCAGTTTATATCCGATTAATAAACAATGCACTTTATTTTTGCACAATTTGTAGCTAATTGTATTAATTAATTATATCAATAGTATAAGTGGTCATTGTTTGACTGATTATAGACACTACTGCATTATAACAGAACATATTGCAAAATAATTGATAAGCTGATAAGCCAAGCATTTCACTGACTAAACAAAAACCAAATTATGCTGAAGTGTAAAAATAGCGTTAAAAAAATAGAAAATAAACATATTGCGTGCAAAGCATAAATAATGACAGCATTTAATGGAAGGAAATGAAAATGGACGTGCAAATGTCAGTCAAACGCTGCCCGCGTGCCACAGGACGTATGAGTGACGCGTAACTGCTATTGATGGGCACAACGCGCCACCCAAGCTGCGTGGGTGTTGCAAATGGGCGCAATAAAGGTGGGCGAGCGCTTGGTTGCTTGGCGCTTTGTTTGGAAAAGCGGCGGAGAAAATTTATAATCATTATATATTATTTTTGTGTTAATTTATTTGCTAGCGGTTAAGTGTTTATGTCGCTGTTTGTATGTATGCAAGTGATTATTTATTATATTTGCAATTAATGCTGTGGCAGGCATACAAATAACATATTTTTTCATATAACAAAAAAAGCTTAAATTGATTTACACTAACAATTTAGTCGTTGGTGTGGTCGCAGACGGCTGCCGCTGGTTACAATGACGCACAAAATGCCGTTAAAATGTACAAAGTTTTATGAAAATCGCGTATTTTCACTTGCACTTTTGTTTATAACTGTTTATTTTTATTAAAAAAAATTTTTTTTAGTTTTTTATTTATTTATTTTTTTTTAATATTTTTTTTATGTTACTTGTATATTTTGAATTTTTTTTAAATTATTTATTTATATGTAATATTTTTTATTTATTTATTTTTCTTTGTGTAATATCGCTTTAGTGTTATTTCGCTCAATTCCTCACCTCCACATTCCACGTCACAGCAAATAAAATTTCGACAAGCGTCGCGGCGCACAGCTGAGAGCTAACTGAAATTTCGTTAGACGAAAAGTGGTTAGACTAAAACACAATAGACAGCACCAACTGCGGCAGTAACACGCACACACACATGCACGCAGCGAAGAAACAGGGAGACGAAATTGAAGTTGAAGTAAGTGAAAAAAGTCGCTTGATAATTTCGCGCACACATGACTACGCTTAATCACAGGAAAGAGCGTGTGCATATAGTGCATATAAATATATAAACACTTATACATATATATATATATATATGTTATATACAAATATTGACTGCTCTCCATGTGTGTGTTGGTTTGTAGCAAATGTTAAATTGGTAGTGGTATTTTGCCAATAGTTAAAAATGTATATATGTGCGTATATGTGGCGCAAATATTGGTGGTATAAATATGTATATATCTTTTTATATATGTATATGTATACGAAATACAACAACAACTATAAAAGCTTGCGATAACAACACGCTGACGTTCGGCAATCGAACAATAGCAATAACAAAAGCATAGCGCATGATAATAGCGGCGAAAACCAACAAAGTACACACTCATACAAACACATGCACATACAAATACACACATTGGCGCGCAGTCAAACAAAGTCAGCGGCAATAACTTTGGCTAACTGGCATTGGCAACGGCTCTGGAGCGATATGTCGCTGAACGATAACAATACCAAGAGCACATTATACAAACATGCATACATATAAGCATATTAATATTATATATATATTGTAGATATACATATATAGATACATGAACACGTAATATCTATATGCTTGTGCGCTTATGGCTTTTACTTTTTTATTACATTTATGCACGTCAAGAAAAGGCCAAGTTGCGTTGCAATAAACCGCAATACGCACACTTACCACTCGCAATAAATATACATACAATGTCTTAGGCGCAGTTAAACAGTAGTGAATAAGTAATGGAATAACTGCCGGTGTTCCTAACAATACAAACAGCGTAAAAGTGCAAAGTATTTTTAGTGCGACCCCGCCCATATATCAAACAATTGATTATACACAGCCGTTAATTGCTCGATTTTGATGTTACGACTAGGTTAGGTAGCGAGTTGTTGTTAAATTTTTTATAGAGTGGACTAAAGCTGAGCTTTAGAACAGATTAATACTAATTTATTGAAATTTGTCAAAAGTAACTACGTTCAAAAGAAAATAACTTTCACGTCAGTAGTTCATGCACCAAACCCAAAGCGCAATTCTGCTGAGGCGTTTAATTTCGATTCCAGCTAATAGTTTGGAATCTGCGAGAAATATGTGGGAAAGGCGAAGTCGCTGATATAGAGGCGCATTTAGCTTTTTCACGGATGGATCAAAGCTCAAGGAGAAAGTTAGAGTGCAAGTCTTTTGTCGGAGGCTCTCAATCACTTTTGTTTCAGACTGCCAAACCGCTGTAGTGTCTTTCAAGCAGAAGTAACAGTCATCAAGGTAGCAACAGATGTACTTCTCCGATGCATCCACTGCGATAGCAGAGCTACTATAGAGGCCTTGGGCTCGCTGACAATAAGCTCAAAGCTGGTCAAGGAGTGCATGACCTCACTAGCAGTAACATCAAGCTATTTACATATTAAACTTGTATGGCTAAAGCCGATAAACTTACAAGAAAGGACACGATTACCCAAATTCCATGAGAATGGAAACGAGCAGGTGTTCCTTTCTCTACGTGCATTAAGGCATTGGAACTATGGGCCGCGTGCGAGTTCAGCAACCAGGACTTGTGGCGTTACGAAAGCCTTCTGTCCTAGAGTGGAAGTCCATTGAACTGCTTAGCTCTTACCAAGGTTCACATCGCCGCAATGATAAATACCCTAACTGGACACTGTTCTATTGCCACTGACGCGGTGTGAATAAAGATTTTGGAGATCGCAACTTGTTCAAGTTGGATGGAGCAAGATGAGGTGGAAACATCTAGACACTTTCTACTCCACTGTCTAACTTTCGCCAGACTAAGGTTGAAACAACTCGGTTGTTATACTTTCTACGAACCCGGCGAATTGGCTGAAATTGATATTAGACGCCTCAATAAATCCATACGGAGGAGTTTTGGGCGTCACAAGGGACAGACAAGTCTAGCTACCCAAGTAAGATTATTCGTGGTTTGGAAAAAATCAGCATATTTACCTAACCTAATTTAACCTACCTATTTGGGAAAGGGCGTAATATCACAGCTGTTTTAATCAAATTCAATTAAATGTAGTACAGTCTTGAAAGAAGTGTAGAGTTCTTCTTCTAAGCAACTCCGCCAAAGCTATGGACGTCTATTAGATAGTACCAGTTTTCAACTAAAAACAGGCGAACCGAGCTGAAAGCTCAATTGAACCAGCGCTTGCATAGTTCAACCGAGCAATATTCCGGCATTTTCCCAATTCGCTGGTATTATACTATGTTCGCACCGACACAAAATTCATGTTTTCATAGGCAAATGAGGTTTTCACGCGAAAACTTGTGTTTTCATCCATACAAAATCTGTCAAACGAAAACACAGTTTCCGCTGAAAACCCCTTGAAAACTTACATTCCACTCATTATAATCGGTGCCTGCTCTAGTTTAATCGATATTATTAGAAGACATATTTTGCCAGCCCTAAATGTCAGTTGGCAATTTGTTTACACTCCATAATTGGCCTGAACGTACCCTATAAGAAACTGCTGATGGGTTCACCAATCCACTCACATTTGATATGTCAGTACTGTTAATTTACATTTGCATTTTTAAATTCAGAACTATCCACTGATTGGAGAACGACGTATGCAGAGCTATTCAGAGGAGGAGATGACATCAAGTGAATATTTATTTTTATATTTTCATATTTTATTATATATTTTGTTGCATTCCTTCTTATATTTAAGTATATAATCATAACTAATTTTGATTAAAAGTTTGAAATTTATTAAAGAAATAAAAATTATATTATATACTGCGCAAAAAAATTGTTCACTTCTGATAGCGTTTCAGTCATAACTGACAATTTTCAGCTATGACGGATTTATGGTCAGCTTTGACTGTCATATTACCCATCAGATGACCGTCACTGTTCTTGTAGGGTACATAACAAATGTAAACAAATAGATGTGTAAACTGTCAATGAAAATTCATCGAAAACACAGAATATCGGTCAGAACGACTTTGGTTCCACATTCCACAAATTGTGTTTTCAAGAGGATTTCAATTCGGTGCGAACATAATATTAGGACAACACTGCCTTTTTTTTGTAAAACTTTCAGCTTTGCAGTTTCCCGCCTATCCGCTGTAGCCAGCCATCCATACTACTTCTAGGTACTAGGTAGCTAGGTATTTCTTAACTTATCTCGAGCGTTCGAACAGTGAGCTTACTCTGCTATAGGAGTGCTGAGGACAAGGATCTCACTAGAGCACATCTGGTTAACTACTTATATCTAATGTGAGCGACGACTAATGTGAGCAAATCTTTCGATGGTTCCGAACATACTAGGAACTAACTGGTTAATTTAGCTTTATATTCAACGTTATATACCATATATGGTATATATGTATATGTATAATTCATAAATATTTCTGGTGCGCATAAATCGATAGTCATAATAAATCGAGTATATGTACTCTACTCTCTCTTGTTCTTTGATTTTATTATTACGCGACTATATTTCTTCATAAAAATTCTTTATTTTTTCTTTACATTTCGTTCGAATTCTTCATTCGACAATTTGCACATTGGTGCTAATATCTTTATCGCACTATTTTTTTTTTATTTTCGCTGTTGTTGTTTTTATAACAATATAACATACTTATGTGTTTGCGACTAATACTGTTTTTGTTTTTTGTTTTTATTAGAGCAACGCAAAACAGTTACTGAGAAATTGTAGAAAACGGCTACCCCTCAAAGACCCGCAGGCTGCTCCCGCTTCTAACTGTCATACTTATATTCTAACTGTTACTTTGGCTTTAGCAATGACAATAAACACTAGCAGCGGGAATGATTTGACGAATTCTTTTATGCAATTAATATATGTGTACGTGTTTTGGCTGTTACTTGCTCACTAGAGTATCGCTAAAAAATATAAATTATGAGAAATGTCAACCAACGCGCGGCATAATAAAAATGTAGACAGTTAATCGAAATATGATGGCCGACATTTATTACCACAATATTTTTTCAAAAATTATTGCTCAAGTTGTCTTCTGTAAAGCTTTCAAAGCAGGAACACTTCATAGAATTATCTTCTTAACTTATACTACTATTTAGATAAAAATAGGGCTACCACTAGTCATCCATGTGTATTATTCCAAAATTTTTAACAAAAACACGTTATATGTCTATAAACTTATAAGTAAGTCGTATTCTGAGTGTCTACGTGGACCAAGCTCAGAAGTTTAGGTTAGGTTCCTACATAATTTAATATTGCTCTATTGATTCTGGAGTAAATTTTTTCAATGTAATCTTCAAAGATCTGCTACGTCTATAGATAGGTAGATACATAGATTTACAAGAAACGAATCCGGGTTCAGATCAAAGAAGAACTGTTCGTTTGAACAAGGTATTCGAACAATCAAAACTTTACTTTTAGCTAAACATACCGACATGTTTGAAAATTTATTTATAAATTTATTATAATGTGAATAAAGGAATGCTCAACAAATAGCTAATTATGCTCTTCTACATTTGACTGTCAATCTTAGTCAGCATCTGTCAATTGAAATTGGTACATAGGTACTGTCTGAATGATGGTGCTAAGGATAAAGCAGTTTAGGATCCATTTTTTTCTAATTTTACTTTCATTTTGGAGGCATTTGACGGGGGGGATATTGACTCGGCAACTCATAAACGAAACGAACTGTCAAACTTGTCTCAATCACTCTAGAATAGATCGTTTCACGGTTCAAGCGACCAACAATAAAATCTAAGTTGAGCAAAATCTGTTGTACACTTTGATAGAGAACTGACCAAGCAACTTGTATTGAAATTGTAGGACAAACACGAAGCTGCGCGTGTTGAATGCAAATCATATTGAATACACACGATTAAAAGATGAAAATTTCACTGGTGGCTAAAAATATGGCACAGAACTGCCATATTATGCTTAAAAAGAGACAAAGTAAGCATCGGGTACATAAACAAGAAGTTCTGTATATAGATTCCCAGGAAGCATAGCATCTTGCCGAAGCTGGAATCTTGTAGAAAGTGAATAAAGTTAACAAGTTTTATAAACACACGTTAAAAGTACTATTAGTGCAACAACAAATATAAATTCTAGCTGCAAGAGACAGCAAACAGTGCCTTGTGGCAGCAGTCTAGCATTCTATTCGAAAAAGGATGAGGTTTCCAAACCAAATAAACATAATTTTTTCAGCGAAATTTTCGAAATTAAGTTATTTAACGAAACTTACACTCTCAGCAAACGAACCCTATTTATTTCCTGCTAGATCAGTGAAGATTCAGAAAATTTACGAGGTTCGGTTGTTGGTCTAAATGGTTGGTCCAATTAAAAAAATTTTTAAAAATTAAAATGTTAAGATTACATATAGTTTATGTACTATACATGAACTCATAAAGTATAGTTTTTTTTTCATATGCGCAATAAATTTGAGAAAAATAGTAAAATGATCTAAAATACGAACAATCAATATTCGAAAAGAGTTTTCAAAAATCTGTCAAATATGATGACAAACAT